ACAAGCCCATTATAAGGTTGTAGACCTACCTTCGAATCCTCTACTGGGGCATTTCTAGCAGGTCCCCCCTGAGAAGACGCGCATTAGGCGACAGCCGCGTCCCAGCAGTAAAATATCCTCCACGCTCAGCGAAATTTCCAAGTGGTCGGACAGTGAGAGAGCATCGGCACTGTGTGTGAGTGTAGGGGAGCTCAGCCTATGGTGGGGCACAGAGGAAATGCGTCATTGTTAATGGACCAAACGGGTTGTAGTCCATGTATCCACCTCCATGTCCACAGGGACTACAGATGGGTCGGAAGGGTCTTAGGAGAAATGACCCTACATGGACAGGATTTTATTTTTTATTTACAGGCACCAGTAGTGCACAACCATATTACAACTGGGTGACGCTATTTCCTAAAAATTCCATTAAAGTTTTCTGGAAAGAACCATGTAGTACGGCACTAATCGCAGAGATACAAAGTTCTGAGCTTTGTGCTGGGTTTATTTCCTTCCAGTTTGATTTCTATGAAATAAATAGGGTTGTACTGTTTATTTATTATGTGAAATGTTGTTCTTCATGTATGCTGAACTGTCTGGTTATTTTTAGACAAATCTCACACTTTGCATGCAGAGCTCACAGTCAGTCTTCTAAATAAAGGCTTCAAGTTTACTAGGTTAGTGTTTAGAGGTGCACCAAATGATCACTCTCTAATTTTACCTATAATTGGTACCTAATTATATGGTTCATTATGGGAAAAATCTTAAGAATCTATTTGGAAATAAACTGGGACTTACAGATCTGTAAAATAAAGCACTACCCACCCTGCTCTGCCCCAAGAGTGAAGGGAAGGAAGAACAAATCCTGTGTGAAAGGTTTCCAAACATCACCACCAGCTCAAATATTTGAGAGGAAGTGCAGAAATGCTTTTTCCTGGGATTCCTCGTGTGTCCAACACACCTGGCCAATAAACTGATTCTGATTCTGAAACATCATTACCTTTGTAATAAGATCCCAAAGATTTTCTTCACTCTGGTAGATTTTCAAGTTGTTTATGGATAGAAATATAAAATGTACTAGAATCCTCGAAACCTTCCAGAAACCGGTGGATTGTGACTGTTTACAGCTGAGCAGTGAGCATGTATGGACAGTTAACCTGCAGGTAAGTAATGTGCAAACACTGAAACAGACACACACCACCACCTTGTGGCTGAACACGTGCAGTGCACATTACTGAAACACCCCTATGACTGTGAGGGAAAGATGATGGAACATGCACAGGTCAGTTCATTAAAGGGTTTCCACACTTTACAAAGTCTAAAAGTTACAAACCAACCCACTGTGCTTTCCAGTTTCTATATATGCAGATACAGTAGTTTTGCTGTAATTTGCCAGTGCTGAGATGCCGATTGGATGTCTTTGTTACAATATCCTAATTGGTTGGTGGTGGTCAAAAAGTCAACAGCAGCAATGGATCAATAACAAGTTCCTGCATTCATCACATTACTTTCTTATACCACTTTTTGCATCTGAAAGAAGCCACATCATCATCATCAAAACAGCTCCAAGAATTAAACTACCTACATTTCACAAAGTTTACAAATCCTAACTCTTGAGCTTCAGAGCTGAAATGCTGCTCAGTTAAATGGCTGAGGTGAATAAAACAGGATGAAAAGCAATATGCAATCAGATTTTACTTTGAACAGAAAACATTTTATGACAAACTCTGCATTAGGCGCCATGAAATACGTAACCCTAAATAACTGCTGCAAATCATTTTAACAAAAATTTACATCTGATAATTTTAGAAATCATGGCAACATTACATTATTATATTAGATATCAAGCACACACAGGGTGTATTCAGTATTCCTATTAATAAAGATTAAGATTTAAGGTGTACAGACTGACAGTTATTTCAGGTCACAGCTAGGGAAAACAGGTCACTCCTGTTTATCTTCCTTTTGATTACCACACATGCACATTTAAATAAATGTGAAGTAAATTATATATACATTTTAGGAGAATACCCCTCCCTCACACAACCAGGGCATTTCAGTGAAGAGCAGTTTACATCCTGCTACAGTCAGACCCATCTGACCAATCAGGGCATGTCTTGTTTACTATTTCTGCTGAGAATCAGACAGAGTTTGGACATTAAAAGCAGGTTTTCCACTCACAAACACCTCTACTCCTCTGCCATGGCATCTGTGGGCTTTGGCTCACGTATACCAGATTCCATCCCTGGCAAACTAGATCTCCTGCGAGCAGCGGTCTCAATCTTCTGCACCAGCTCCACATCCCAGGGATGAGTAACAAAGCTGAGCACCTCTGCGCCCTCCACACCTCCTGCTCTCCCCACTCTTCCAGCTCTGTGGATGTAATCTGTGTGGGACTCTGGGAAGTCATAATTGACAACCAAATGCACTCGGGATGTGTCCAGGCCACGAGAGGCAATGTCTGTGCATATGAGCACATCTACGCTTCCCTTCTGAAAGGACTGGAAGATTCCTGCACGTACAGCAGCAGGCATCTGCCCCTGCAGACGTAAAAACCGTACCCCCATCTCATCTAGTAAGTACCCCAGCCAATTGACGGTGGCAGACTTGTTGCAGAACACCAGAGCAGCACCTCCTCTGTTTTCGTGCTGGAGCAGCTTCAGGGCTTGGTGCAACTCCAGGATTTTGTCAGCGCCCTTTACCTTCAGGAAAGTCTGCTTGACATGTGGCATCAGGAAGTGCAGCATCTTACTTTTGATAACCACTATGCTGCCAAGGTCTGTCACCTGGCTGAGCACTTCCCCGACACCCCCAGGGAAGGTGGCTCCCACCACCAGCAACTGGGCTTTATGGCCCAGGCACTGTGTTTCCTTGGGATGACTAGCAATGTCAGTGTGGTGCAGGATACTCTCCAGCAGATCAGAAAAGCTGGGGTCGAACATCGTGTCAGCCTCGTCGACCACCAAGAAGCGCAGCTCACTCAAGTCCAGGTAGCGTCTCCGCAGGGCCTTAACCAAAGCACCAGGTGTAGCCACTAGAACATCTGGATGATTATTCTTGAAGACCTGCTTGATGTGTCCTACACCTCGTCCACCACCCACAGTCCTTGTCAACAAGCCAAACGGAGCGCACAGAGCCCTGGACACAGCAGCCACTTGTTCAGCAAGCTCTCTGGAAGGCACAAGAACCGCAGTTTGAATTTTGTGTGCATTCTCGGAGTACACCTGTGATTCTCTGTTAGCCTGCAGCCTGTGAACAATAGGCAGAAGGTAACTCAGTGTTTTGCCACTCCCTGTCTCTGCAGCACACAGAATGTTGTGACCTTTGATGACCTTTGGAATTGTCTGCAGCTGAACAGTTGTGGGATGGGTAATGTTCATACTGTTCAAAACTTCCACCAGCTCCTTGCAAATACGAAGATTACTAAAGGTCCCCGATGGTTTCTGTTCGCGGTCCTCCTTCTGGTTTTCAGCTACACAGGGTGCAACAGTCTTGGTGTTGTTGATGATGAAATAGTCACCGAATGATTTGTTATGTTTCCATCCTTTCGAACACAGAATGGGCTCTTCGAACTTCCCAAAGACGTATCCCGCAGACTGGTTCCGATCAGAGTTCTTGCACTGGATCAGTAGTTTACCAGCTTTGGTGGTTCTGATGTTATTTTTGCCTTGAGTCTGCTTCACGTTCTCGATGCGCTTCTCTAAGTAGCGAGGAACACGAATGACTGCGATCTCTTCTGGCGTGGCTGCTGTTTGACAAAAGCGACTCTGTCTGACAGAACAAAAAACACGACAGTGAGCCGATACTTTAACGAGCGTAGGACAGTAAACTCTAATTGAGTCGAGAGCTTTCGACGCAACCAAAGCCAAATAGCCGGGGTTCACAGACTGCATTTTAGGGATTAACTAGCTGCTTAGCAGCTAAGAGTCAGCTGAGAAGAACAAATACACAAGCGATCAACTAAATCACGGAGATGAAACCGGTTTTATACACTGAGAATATTTACAAGTCATTGCAAATGCTACAAAAACACCGTACACTTGTTAGCATCCAGCGTGTCTTGTCAGCTGTACCGACATGCTTTCCTGGCGAGTGTTAATGACGTGAGGTGGGTTTGGTCTGATGACGTAACCCAACGTATATTTGCAGGTTATCATTCTTCCCCCCCATGAATATATACATGTAAAGGCAACAAAAACAAATTCCAACAACATCCAAAAGTTCTTGATAATTATAGAAACAATCTTACACTGGGTTATTTTGATATCAAAGCATTAAAAGATCAGAATGACCAGAAAAGCTCTAGTGTTCAGTTCAGTTTCAAAGTCTAAAAGCATACAGCACAAACAAGACACAAAACATACATTAAATTAAAATAACACTTATAAAAGAGAATTATACAATTGTTTCCAAACACGTGAGTGGTATCATACAGTATTGTATTTTAAATGTTTTAACATTTCAGTCATAGAAGTCTGTTAAAGCTTTGCTGGTGTGGACGACAGTGGATGGTCACAGACTTAAACAAATTAAATTGTATGCTTTTTTTTTCTTGAGGAAATATCTTAATATAAACTGAGATGGCAGCTTGTGTTCCAGAAAAATAACCTCTGTGAATATAATATTTGGCAAATTATATAGTTTAGTGTTTGAGGTGTTTTTTTTTTTGGCATTAAAAAATAATTATTATGGTCTGTGTTTATAGGCCTGCACAGATTTTATGTGCTGATATCTATGATAACCTAAAGTGTTCACCTCATATTTACCAAAGATGTTTTTCTGCGCTTAAGAGGTCTACAGTACCGTGGGGCCTGACTAAACTGCCCTAGACCCTTGATAAATGTTTATTGTAGTATGCCATAAAACTGTCTGAATTTAAAAAATGGCCCACAAACAACAAACTGACCATTCTCAGACATCTCCTTTTCTAACCTGACTAGTGTGCTTATTTGGAAGTCTCGTACATTGTATGCCTGTTCTAACAGTATTACTTGTACTAATGGCCGCCGAGAGTATAAACCAATAAAAAGCAGACTAATCTCTCCAGGCATGCATCTAGATAGGGTCCAAGCAGAGACACAGGTCCCTCTCCAGCTGCCTGATGGGAAGGTTTGCATTCATTTATTTTGGGTCACACACTTTTATCTTCAGATAAAATCTGTAAAGTTGTGTTTATACCTGGCATAAAAACTCATCTGTGTCAGTGCTGCTGTCACATCTACCATTGATTGCACATGAGCTACACTCACCATGTGCAGATGAATCAGCCTGGTGATTGATTTCAGAACTTCACTCACACACTTCCAGTAATGGAGTCTCTGACACATGTGGGACAAACCAGTGCAGTGGTAGCTCTAAAGCCTGTGAGCTGAGGTCTTTGCTTATACTGTCTCTTAACAACAAAGTGAGCTGGACATCTTACACAATACTTCTGTATATGTAATCTAATTTAATGCACTATATCACTGTAACATAAACATTAAAATGAGTTACATTTTCACTACTGGTTTTTTATGTTCAGACTGCGACTGTGGGTCGACTGTGGTTCAAGGGGTAGAGCGCTCGCCTCCCAACCAGGAGACTGGCAGCTCAAACCACAGTGCCTGCAGTCCACATGTTGAAGTGTCCTTGTGCAGGACACTGAACCCCCAAGTCGGTGTGAATTGGTGTCACAGGTGGCTGCTTCGGTTCTGTACCGGAAACAAATTTCTTGTGTTTGTGTAACATACTGGGCAAATAAAGGGATTCTCATTGTGACTGCCTAGTGGGACTCAACTGTCCAACAAAGTAAAAGTTGAGACTCAATTTCAGTGACTGAACAAAAGAGGGCAGCAAAAATCAGCAAGCAAAATTTCCAGTCACCTACACTCACATCTGTATTGGCAAATTTGTCTTCCATATGTACAATAGTCCTATAACACGGTCACATAAAAAATATATGCTATGTCTTCTGTATGCAACATACTTTTCACTCTTCATCGATATTAAACAATAACTCAAAAATTACAAGCAAAGTACAAAAATTAAATACATTTTTTAGATGTTAAAGGTGGAGAATGTAGTTTTTTCTCCCCTTTAAAACAGTATAACCTTAATTCTTTGCACACATTCTGATATGAGACTGTGTGCGAGTTGATATTTGTTGACATTTAGTGAACATTACGTGTGGTGCTGCATTGCATTTCTGCAGTCTTTGCAAACCCTAATCCTTAAAAGACTGACACCTTTCTCACAGGACACGTGTGGGCAGATGCAATTTTTTTTCCTTCATAACTTTCTTTACAAGAACATAATATCACAAACCACATCTACACTCTCCCACACAATTTGTTTTCTTTATCTTCTCCCTTCAAAGGTCATCTGCTAAGATAAGACGCAGGTAACCTGAATTAGACACGGGCGGGTCTGTTGCACAGGCGAAAGTTCAAACAAGCCATGTGATTGCCACACAGTAATGTGATGATCACTTTTTAAATTCAATTTAGTAAGAATATATTCATGACAAAGATGAATTTAAAGCCAGTAAATTAAGAATCGTTTAGATGAATTATAATTAAAATATCCCTGCTATGTTTTGTATGCATATTTGGAAAGTATCTAATTATATGGCCCAATAATAATAAATAAGAAAGCAAAATCTTTCATGTTTGTATCATTTCTAAAGAACCTTCTTGAATCAGCAATTTTACTTTACTTTAGCTACACTCACCATGTGCAGATGAATCAGCCTGGTGATTGATTTCAGAACTTCACTCACACACTTCCAGTAATGGAGTCTCTGACACATGTGGGACAAACCAGTGCAGTGGTAGCTCTAAAGCCTGTGAGCTGAGGTCTTTGCTTATACTGTCTCTTAACAACAAAGAAGTGAGCTGGACATCTTACACATTACGTCTGTATATGTAATCTTTTTTTTTTGATGAAGTACTGAAATTACTTACAGCAGGACAAGAATCACAGCTCAGGAGAATATTTCAGCTAAATTTGTTTTGCTTCATTGACGACTTGGCTTAATAAGATTAAATAGTCCACTTGTTTGAGAGTATCACTGAATAGAGACTAGAATTGGCTGGTATTTTACATGCGAGAGTTACTTACTAAACAGTAATTACATGTGCGTAATTCACAGTAACTCATAGTACTCCATAAAATATCTACTTGTGTTCTTTTCAGGATACAACACAAGTCAGATTTATTTAAGTCAAGTTACTTTAAACTTGGTTGAGATGTCAAAGATTTTTAGCAAAGCATCAAATTGGAATAGAATCATTTTCTTTACATTTGTGGTTAAACAAACCACTGCATGTCTACATGAAAGGATACTATTAAAGTGCATGAAGTTTAGAAGGGAACGTGTCACCGTTTGTGTGTAGTCAGAACTCACCAGGACACAACACACTTTTGTGCTGGGCTTAACTCATCTTCAGGGGGAGAAATGCTTCAGAAGATGGCATACAAGTTAAAGAGGGTAAAGCTTTGTGCTTTTGCCTGGAAATAAAGACCACAGGAAATGTGATATTGATGCTTTCAGATGCATTTGTGAGCTGAGCGCCTCTCTGTACGCCCACATGCATCTTGCATAGGTTTATGTAGCTGTGTTTAAAAAAATACAACAGGCTGTCAGCTGTACGTGCAATTGCACGTACAGCTGACAGCTGTAAAGTAAAAGTAAAATAAATTTACAGTAAAGTAAATTTGCAGAAGTTGTTTTACAAAATGTAATAAATAATTGTATTCCTTTTTTTGGTACTGCGTATGTTTAGCTTTAATATCAAAAATCATACAAAGTTTTATTTTTATACAGAAAAAATGTTTAGTGTATGTACTCATTAGTTTAGTTTTTTGCAAATTTACTGCAAGTATTCTACTTTCATGAATCTATAATGGTTAGAATACATAATAGCATCTGCTTATCAGGTGAAACTCTATTTGGTGAAACATTTAAAAGTAGCTTGATACAATAAAATTATTTAGAAAAGAGCTGTGAGCACATAAATGGGAATAACCTCTCCAACAGAGTGACATCAGGAAATAACTGAATACTAATACACATGCTGTCAGGCAAGAAAATCATCCGAGCAGCAGTGCATTAAAGCTTTAGAGTGCATTGGCCTCTGTCCTGCTTACCCAGTAAAGATCAACCTGGGGAGAGTCAACAGAGATGCAGACACATCCCGTTTATGGACGGATTTACTGTTCCTTTATTCCAGACACAGGTTCACTTTAACCTGAAATACTCAGAACTGCACTGTGATTTAAATAATGCATTCATTAGAGCAGAAGTGTGTAATGTGGGTACTGAATATGTACAAGAAGCACAACTGTTTATTCACGTTCCAAGTCAGAGTTACAATTAACAAAGTGTCTATTTTAAATGCATGTTCAGGATTACACACAACTCTTTGACTGGCCATATAAAATCAGTTGAGCACTTTATTAGGTACACCTACCTTGAAGTAAGTGAGTGTAATCAAACAGTTCTGCAATAAATCCTCCTTCATCAAGATGAGAGCGTTCTGATGTTGTGCTGTGCTGCATGATATAGAGAGGTTTTTCTGTGATTTAGCTTATAGCCTCATTCTTAGTAAATGGGGTGAATAACATAACAGAAACACCTGTCAGTACACCAGTAGCACATCAACTCCTCTCTGAAACAGTGTGAACATAAACTGAACATTATTACCTTCACAAGGGTGGATGTATTGCAGGACTGCCGGATTAGACTGACTCAGTTTTAGTTATACCTAATAAACTGTTATCTGAGTGTAGATCAGTCCATCAAACATTATTTTACCTTTGGTCAAAATGTAAGCATGTGTGTCCCAGTATGAAAAACACCCACTGAGTCCCACCAAGTGCAACACACTGTGCAAAATTGCCTTCTGAGCACAGAATAAACATGAGAAGAACAAGAACAAGTGAATAAGAAGCCCCCAACTGAAATTCACAGAATCAGTGTTTATGTTGAAAATAAATACAGGTATTGAAACCTTGGGACTGGCAACACAAATAACATCTTTCCAGTGACACTAAATTCAGGGTGCACCATCCTAACCTAACTGATCCAAAAAGCCATGCTCACCAGTCTAGTTCACAAACCCAGCTTGGCTGATTAGAAATTAAACCCTGTGCACTGACTGTCTTGAGGGATCTGAAAATAAAAGGTGCATTATGTCATTGTACTTCCCAGTCCTAGCTTGGACTGGGACATCACAAAGAGGTGGAGCTGAGGGACCAGCGCAATGTGATGTAATCTAATGGTTGGAGGAGAAGAGAATGGACCGGTGGCTGTGCAAGGTCAGAAGGTTTGTTTAAATGCAATCTGAAATGTTTTGACATGTCTATTTGCAAAAGCAACTTGAAATAAGACAAGATCAATGACATTAAACATTTATGAATTGGTGGTAAAATGTTCCTTACGCATTGTAGGCGCGTTATTTTAACTTCCAGGCAACAAAATGTGACTGGTTTCAAAACACCTTCAAAAACAATCAACTTTAGGCTTTTAACTGTGCAAGTCTTTGATAAACTGCTCATTGAGTGTCTCTGAGGAACAGTCTGTTTGTGTGCGCGCGCGCGTGTGCCCCGTGTTGTGTATGCTGACGTCACTATGGAACTGCCTTGTCACGCGGGGTTAGTAAAAGTTGGGATAGGAACTCCGGAGAGAGAAACAGACCGGGGGAGAGACAGGGAGAAGGGACGATTCGTCGGCGTTATAACAAACATTACACACCGTATAAGAGAGGCACTTTTTTGTTGTTGAGTAGGTCGGGAGATCGAAAAAATTACCAAGAGAAGGAGAGGCAGGAACGGACGACTTTGCCTGAAGTTGAAGCCAGAATTTGCTAGTTAACTACCGGAGGAAGCGGAGCCACCTACCCGTGTTTTGGCGAATTTGTCAACCGACGGGGAAACACGGGTTCTCCTGAAGCAGTCCGGTCAGATGAAAAGTTAAAGCTCGTCGTTGTGACAGTCGGTAAATGTGACATTCTGGGAGAGCATACATTGCTCCAGCGGTCGACAGTCGAGTGGCGGGGTAAAACCCGAGCTGTCAAACCCGATGACTACTGCAAACTGCCCCGGGAATGAGGAGCTGGACTTCAGACTGATCTTCGGAGAGGATGGGCAGCAGCAGCAGCCGTTAGGCCCCGCAGGTCAGTGTGTTTCCCACTGCCCAGTGGCACGGTTCATGCTGTTTGTACAGGTAGTAAACTTGACGCACACTGTTCGGTAACTTAGCCGCTGTTTCCTTAAGTTATCCCCGCAGCTTTCGACCACACCGGCTCGTCACGGTACGCTCTGCAAAGGAGGAACGGACCGCAACAATTTGTTTCAGTTTTCTGGGGAAATTCATATATTAAAATATCACGCATCCTTTTTTTTTCCCGCTCAGCTAATGTCCTCAATACCAGCTGTCATTAGCTTGGCATGCTAGCAAGTTAGCACATTGCGGAGTTACTTTAGTCACTGTAAATCAAATTTAAACTTGTAAACGTGTCCTAAAGTTTTTGCAGAATTAGCCTGTCAACGTGTAACTGTGTGGCGGGACTACAGCAGTGTTATAGTGGCTGATGGTTGATAAAAAGTCAGTGAAGCATGGCTGAGAGAGGGACCAGTTTGACTGCCACTGAGTAGCACATGCTAATGTTGTCAAAACTCTTATTCACTTAATTTTCAAAAAGTAAAAAAAAAAAAAAAGTCCTGTTGTAAATACTGTTGTATTGTGGACTGTGTTCTTCCGCTGTGTTTGGCTGATATTTAATATTTTCAAGTATATTTTGAGTAAGACAACACATAGATTTACCAAATCGTATGAGATATTAGTTTTTGTCATTTGGAAAATATAAATGTCATCTATGGATGTGAGAGCTGACAGTTATGCACAGCTACAATGAAAACATATTGGCCCAGGCTGTCTGAGCACAAGGTTGAGCTTAGCTTGCTTAAGAAATTCAAACTGAAACAACTCCCACAAAGGTAAAATTTTATAGACTATTGTAATAATAAACATACAATTAAAATGATGACTTTTTAAACATCTAATTATCAGTGTGGGTGTCACCATGGTGGACCCAAACCCGAACCTTAAAGCGGTTAGGTGTCCTACTGTGATGTACGTTTACAAGTTTACTTATCAGGCTCAAATATGACTCCTTAATTGGCCTGATATCTGGGATTAAAACATTTTGAAATAGTGTCTATCTGCTGTAGTACAAGTACACTTAGGTCTGCTAGATAGCAAGACATGCTGTCAGTTTTGTTCTTTAACTGACTTTGAAATTTAGAAGAATTAAATATGTTAAAGATATGACGTCATTCATAATAATAATAATAATAATATTAATAATTCACGATTGTATGGCTTGTATGGCTGCTAAATGAAACATGAGTTCCCTGTGTTATAGGACACACTGTAGACAAAGAGCCATATATATAATTGTCATTTAATTTTTATGATGATTTACTCATGCAGTATTGAGAAACTTTATTCAAAAACCTGCCAAATGACTGATACATAAGGCATTGTCTCTCACCTTCAGGATATGTCTTGTGTAATGTGCTTTTCCACAACCATGGAAAACTATCTTAGAAACCACAGCAGAGAAGAAGTGAATATTACAGATCATATAAAACCTGGGTTTACTGATTAATGGTTAATAACAAACAATCTAGAATAACTTGTTAGAATAACAATATAAACCATTGTAAGTGAACAGCACAAGCTAGAGAATTGAATATGATTACAATGTTTTCATTAGACAGATATTTTGGATCAAACTGTGGGCATGCATCATCACAAACTGTCAAAATCCCCAAGGATTCAAAATATACATATTTAAGAATGAATTACAGGAAAATGTGTTTAAAATTATGCACAGAACATTGCAAAATATTGTCTGTGATATAAAATGTTTTACTCTTAAGTGTATTATAAACTGAGTGAGGTGATGGAACAGGCAGGTACACAATGTCATGTTTCACTTAAAGAGAAAACAACACCCTGCTAAAATAACTTGTAGGGATGCTTCACACTCTGGTCAGTTAACTGTTTGGTGCAAAAATCCCTTCAAAGTGTGTTGCAGGTGCCAAGATTAAAAATAAATTATTCTCTAAATGAAGGTTTAGAGGTGCATAAGTGTATGTTTTCATTTTGGCCACACTAAGCGTTAAGCAAATGCAATATGGGTAAAGCTGATGTCGGACATGACTAACTGAATCAGATTTCAGTTCGTTGATATTTTCTTGTCACTTGAGGACATAGAATGAGAGATTTCAAGGATTCATCTGCTGTGGAAAAGTGCACGAAGCACATATTTACTCATGTTGAGTAGAGAGACTTTGTGCTCATGTCTTAATAATAGAACTATAATAATAATTAATAAATCAGGACTGGTCCTCATAATGCAGGGATGTTTGCACTAAACATCACAACTGTAGACAAACAGGTAGACTTGGAAGCGGCTCCAGTAGCCATATAAGTAATCAGTTTTCTCATATAACAAAAAAGTATTACTCATGTGAATGATAGAAGCTGCTGTCTTTTTGGGTTTGGGTTTTTAATTCAGTTAAAATTTAGGAATATATGTGTGAATGAGTCTTTAGGTGCTTCACTTGTTCAATGAGAAAGGAAATTAAAAAAAAAAACTCAAAAAATTACGAATGTGTGGCATTTGGTCTGTTCTTCCTTGCTAAGTTCAGCCTCTTCATTTGTTTATGTCAAAAACCAGTGAATTCACCGACTGTGTTCTTTTTGTAAAACTCTGGCAAAGCAGTCACTCAAGGAAGGGTTGGTTTGTGCAATCTTAATTTTTCCTTTGATTAAGTTTGATTTGGAGAAGGAATGAGGGGAAAAACTGCTGCTGGAAAAAGCACAGGAATAAAAGCATCACTGTGCACTTGGTTTGAATCTGGTCTGGACTGTATGACTTGGCCCAAAAGGGGGCACCTGTCCAAATTAATAACTGGACTATAATACAGGATCACACAGTTGCACGCTCCTGAGTCGGTCTCCTTGACTGAGGGTGAAGCTCAAGTCAGGGCTTGTTTTTGGACAGGTTTCTGCTGGGCAGAGATTGTTATCAGTTAAACAGCTTCAGACTTTTAAGTTAAGTGCTATGAAAAGGGGAGGTCTCAATATAAAAATGAAATGGCAGTGCTACCTTTCTGTTAGCAAATGCACCAGTTACCACAATGCATTTAACCTTCTAAAAGGTGTTCTTATGGGAGCTGGTTGCTCTTGTTTCTGACAAATCTGTACATCTTTTTCTTTTTTTTTTTTTTTTGAATATTCTCAGTGGAGCTGTCTAGTGATTTGCTCACCGTTACCGTCAGCCCAGTTATCTTGATGTCTTTAAGCATTTGAATATATGACGGTGATTTAAAAAATCTGCGTAATGGTGTGGTACAGTATAACGCCCTGCTCTGTCTTTTTTTTTGTCCTCTTCATCTCTCTGAGTGTTTTCATGTTACTCAGGAAACAGCCACCTCTTTGAGGTGAAATATTCCACTGTTCTATTCAGAGGCACTGGGCAAAGTTAGTGTAAGGGTTTTCCCCTGATTATGTACAGTGCTGAATAGAAGAACTAGCCCTCTCTGAATCATATTAACTAGAAAGTGAGGTCCCAATTCACAGAAAACAATCTGAGGGAAGGACAAAGAAAACTATTAAAGGTGCATTAACTAAGATTTTGCACATTATCTGATAAACCCAGTGACAGTGGGACAGGACATGGTGTCTCCCCCACCCCCCATGACCCTCGGCTGCTTACAGCCCTCCTGTTGTTATTCCAGCTTCTCTACCCTGTGTTGTCAAAGTACGATCTGTAAATTTGCCCCGACTGCCGCCTAGCCGAGGCTAGAAGAAGGGTTTTTCCTACTGCCATTATTCATGTCAAGCACCCAGCCATGGAGGAGCTCAATGAGTGAGAAAATTTTAAAAAGAGGTGGCATCTTTTGCATAGAGAGAGTGTGACAAAGAAATAGCAACAACCAGGGTTAACAGCGGTTTGGCTGTTTGACATGGAGAGGGTTAAAAGCAGCCAGAGGACTCAGACTGGGTTCAGACATAACATTCTTGTTTCTGGATGTGATACCATCTAAAGCTAACTTGTTTGGTTTGGTATCATTAGTGAGCTAGCATGGTCATTAGCAGTAACCAGAGTGTTCTACAGGATCTACACCTTTACTGTTAGTCAGTTAATGCTAGCTTCAGACTTGAGGCTGTATTTTGTACAGTTTGCCACAACTAGGCATCTGTAGTTTCTGTTGTTGCTACGAAACAGGATGTGATGGGAGGAGCAAAGCGCGGTTAGGAGTGACTTATGGTGTGAGTTTTTTGAGCCTCACTGGACTCTCTAGGCTGAAAAGAAATTAGGTACGGTAGCTTAAAAATGACAGCTAAACAACGTTATGTGTTGACACAACAAAAACTGGCAGCTTTAAATTTAGTAAAAATCATCACTAAAAGCCTCTTCTAGAGATATTCTACTTCTTAAGGTAACTTGCATAATTTATTTGGTTTCAGCTGGCCAACATTATGGAAACAGAAAGTTGTCAGAAAGAAACAGTTCACGTTTGGTCAGCTCAGTTAAATTTGAATACAGAACATGTGTTTGGATTTTGACTGTTTACATGGCAGCGGCTAAAGTATTGTTGTAAAATGCTGCGGACACTCATTCTGGTCAACTTTTTTGAGTGTGCACTAGAGCTGTACCGTCAAATTGGTAACGCAATATTTTCAGCCCATTTAAATTTAGATGTATGGGTTACTGCCGGGTAATAGTTCACTACAGGAATGTCAAACTATACATTTCAACAAGAAAAGGCCTGCTTTGAACATTTCAAGTCACTTTTTAATAATAATTAAGGCCTTTTTGCCAAAATATTTGTTTTATACGTTTAAAAAATGACAGACTTTTTTTAGTATTAGGCTCAAAAATTGTATTTGTTTTGTACTGCCTGATAGCTTGAACCTGCTGTGAGTGGATGTGGTATTTTGTGACAAAAGAAGAAATTGATGATGCACATCAGTGGAAAACTTAAACAAGTAAAGTCAACTGATTTTCATCAGTTGTTTGTGTGAGCTGTAGTGGTGAGAAGCTGCAGTTTGGTTTTTTTTTTTTAGCCTTTGTTCTTTGGCCACAAACAGCCAGTG